TTCTCCGATGATCATCGTTTTCAACGTGTGAACGTTGCTTCGTCTCTTCTGGCGTGTAATGCGCGTGAACCATTTTTGGACAAAATTGTCACCGGTGATGAAAACGGATTGACTATACGAATATTAAACGCCAAAAACAATGGCTCAGTTCTAGACAAAAACCACTTCCTACCCCAAAACCTGGACTCCATCCGCAGAAATTGATGCTTTTAGTATTTGATGGGATATCAAAGGAGTAATTCATTTTGAACTCCTCAATCCACAGCAAGTTGTCAATGCAGAGATCTATAGAAAAATGTGCAAATAAAGATGTTTTATCACTCGTGTTTGATTTTTTATTGTTTGCTGGTTAAATTAAGGTAATTAGATTGAGTGTCTGAGTTCTTTTATGATCTTAGAATTATAGAATTCCAGTCTAGAAGTTGTGTTTTGAAGATGAAAGTACACTTGTAAAAGTATCACAAAGAAATTTTGGTCTCAGTGTAATTTTTTCTTTTTTATCCATTTTAGCTCACCAGCATTAAATGTGCAAGCTCATGAGGCTTCACACAATAAAGGTCATGTGCAAACATCCTATGTCAGCTCACTGGTAGACTTTCAGAAGTCTACTTCTCAAGTTCTCTCCTCTAACCTAAATGAAGCCTCAGTTTCCTTATCACATGGGGAGGTGTCAGGTATATGTTTGTATGTCTTATATTCCCCACATAAGCTTAAGAAAATATTAATGGACAAAAAGGGTTTGAAAGTAAATTACTAAGTACTTGGGAAAGATGTGAAAAGTGAGACCAGATGGAATTCTAACCTTCCTGGTCGTATTTTTCACAGAGGAAATTTTCAACATCAAAGAATGGTAAGCCACTTTTAAAGTGTTTACAGTTAAGATACATAGTTAACCACTGCTTATCATGGCATGAACATTTAAAACCAATCAAATAATGTTTCCGCATGGATGTAAATATTCAGTTTATAAGGGAAATCAGTTGTAATATATTTGCTTGAAATTTTAAAATGTCTAGTAGAAGTTGATATAGCATTTTTATTTACATTGAAATTGAGCATTGATAAGCATTTAGTTTTGTATTTATTTTTGTTTTTTTAAAACAAAGAATTATACAGATACCATATAAAGTTAGTATAAGCTGACAATTGCTTTTCTTATGAGATGTTTTGTCAGTAACCAAATTTCAGTGTACCTGTTTATGTTTTAAATTATTTAAAGAAAGTATTTTTCAACTTTAAAGAAACTTGTACATAAAATGTCTTCAGATTCAATTGCAATTTTCCATGTCTTCAAAAGATGACATTATTTTATTCCAATAGTAAACAAGCATTTATTTACTTTTTGTTGGATTCTAAACAAAACTGCTATATTACATGAACATTATATGTATTATGAACATTTTGGTTTTACTCACCAGATGTTATAAAGACCAGAATGAACCTTTACAGTCCTGATATGGAAATGTTACTTCATCCTTTACATGTTCACTCTTTTCGTGGCTTCTCTTCAGACCATACTATCTCACCTACTGCTCAGGTAAGAAGACTGGAGCAATGATAGAAATAAAGAAATCAGTTTAAACCCCCCCAGAGAATCATTTTTGTTAGTGGTTTATCGTATAATTTGTTCTATGCTTTTTAATGAGTGAACTCATACATGGCTTCCTCCTTCCATTATGAATGTAGGGAATAAATTGACTCAGTTTGAAGAGTTGACTGTAGCCCAGAAATCATTTGTATGTATTTTTAGGTTTTTTGGTTCATGTTTAGACACATTAGATGTAAGTGGTTCATGACTGGAAATTGATTCACCAGGATTAATTTTTATTAACACATTTTAAGCTCAGAATGCTTGGGAACATAGTCTGTCAAGAAAATATTGATGAAAGAAAGTCATCTTCTTGTCCAATTTTATTTGAGGATATAGTTTACCTTCTCCTTTACATATAATGTAAATATTGAAAACTAATACGAGTTTCTCAAACTTCATATAAAACTCTTCTCAATATTACTGTTCCTTTTTTTAAAATAATTTGAGCTAATTCAAGTTCAGGTAATACTTACAGAGTGTTGTGTTTTGTGCTAATTATTTATTTGTTGATAAGGGTCTTCAAGTGGAATGTGAGGATCATATTTTTTTGTCATTTTTAAGGATATTGTTCCTCCAGAACTTTTAGAACACTATGTCAGCATGACTGACCCAGTACGAGCTCAAACTATCGATGCTGAGATAGCACGGCAGTGTGCCTACAGTCTTCCTGCTGTAGCCTTAACATTAGGGAGAAAGTACTGGCTATGTTTGAAAGACACATATAGAGCTCTGGCTTTTGACATGCAGGTATGGCCTACTTTTGAATTTTACCTTGTTACCAAGGGAAAATGATGTTATTGTGAAAGTAGTGATTGATGGACTACTTAATAGAATGTTTAGAATGTAAATGATTACTTGTAAGTTGCTGACTTATAGATGTGCAACAGTAGAAAATGTTTAAATTTATATTGTTATTAGTTTATTTTCATCAGTTGAATACAATTTCCAAAGACATTAGAGAATCTTATGAAACATGCAGTAAGTTGTTAACATAAGTTAGTTTGGTTATCGTTGTAGATTGATACAGACTGAAACTTAGCAACATTTGTAAATAACATTTGAGCTAATAGGACTCAAGAGAACTTAGTTTACCTTATACTTACATATAATGTATATATTTGAAAATCATATCAGTTTCTCAAATTTCATACAAAACATCCTTTTCAACATTTCTGTTAATTTGGTTATTATTGTAGATTGATACAAACTAATAGTTAGAAACATTCATAACTAACATTTGAGCTAATAGGACTCGAGAGTATTTTGCAGTCTTGTAGTCAAGACCTCAATGTCCAAGACTGAGACTTAGATGTTGGAGGTAAGACCTTGTAATAAATTACACACTGAAAAATAAAGAAAGAAGAATAAAAATCACATGCATCCAACAAACTTTATTAACATCTTAACTGCAAATCTTTTACATGTTAACCCCATAGTCTTTGTGTTAATGTCTCTTCCTATGAAAAAAACACAATTAAAAATAAGAATAAATAATGAATTAATATAAAAAATTAAAAAGATCAGCAAATAAAACTAAAACCAATATTGGTTTCAGTAAATTCTTTATGATCTTTGAAGCTAAAGAGGATCATAGCAGGGCTACTAGACATGTTGAATATTAGGGATAATCACTAATATTTGATATAAATACGTGCACCAGATGAAGTTCATACAAACTTGTAGTAAGTCTACGTGTAATGCAATGTACAGTAGCGGTTAGTTTTGAATAGTATATGTTATTTCCACATATTGGCATACAGGCAATATGGCAGTTGGTGACATAAACAAAAATTAGGGAGATGCTATAAACATCATTGCAAAGATGTAGAACCAAGGGGGTTTTACTAGTAAAACATCTTTGATGCTACACTGCACCTCAATAATCGATATTTAGCATTTAATAATTATTGGTAGGTGACTGGTCTAATACTGTTAAAACTTTTAAATTTAGCCACTCTTGTGTTTGAAACCTGTAAAAAAATCAAGACTGAGACCCTCTGAGGATTGTCTTGAGACCTACAACACTGGTATTTTGCTATTCAAGTGTACTTAATCCATTCTAAATTCATTGTCTTATATTTTCTGATTTAGAACACAAACAAATATAACATTAAATATACAAAACATTTCTTGGAGTAAGATAATTAAATTTGCAAGGTTCTATAAAATTATATAAAAAATACTTCAGAGACAGAAATACTATATGTCTTCATTAGAAAAGTTTTATCTCTATTTATTAATTTTCTTAAATAAATAGATACCCAAATAAGTATTACTTTTGACACACATAATTCTGTATTCTGAAAACTTGTTTTTTACATGATGAACTAAAGTACTATATCCAAACTTGTATAACTTGCCAGCTTATATCTTGGATAGATAGATGGAACTAGGATTACAAAGGTTTGATAATTTGTATATGCTTAGTTTTGTATTACCTAGCACTCTTTAAACATTTCTCATGTTTTATTATTACAACTAGCATATAGTCTGTCTAAAATGACAGGGCAATTACTACCACCCCACCCCATAATATACCCTAACATCACATTTCATTGCTAACTGAAATAAAAAAAAATTACAAAATCAAGCTTGATCAACAAAGAGGCAGAAGAGTGCAGTTGAGGCAGTCAAATACTGGTAAATTCCTTTGTGAGCCAATCAAATTAAGATCATTCATGAAATGAAATTGTGGCATTCAAAGAATAATTATTGATAAAAATCAGTTAGATTAACAACTTCTAATATATAGAAAAGCCAATGCATTTTGTTAACACTATGTTCCAACAATGGCTTTTATGTCATGTTGTTTAGCAACAAAAGTATAACCTAATTTTAGTCTATGTATTGAAAGTATAAAATTAAATGTATAGACAACGGAACTGATTTCTGTTGATTAAAGAGTTGTTTTTTTTATTAAAAACGTTCATGAAAGAATATAGCTTAATTCAGAAATGATTTAATTTTAAAATTGAATCAACATTTTTACTTTCAAGATAAATTTTATGCACTTAGCTCTAGGCTAGTTAACCCCACACTACATCTTTATTTTAGGTTTATTATACAACACTAACTACACCTGTAAGGTTTCATGGTCCCCTTGCACCCCCCATCAATAAAATCATAATAGGCAGACAATAATCAAACTATTCTATCTGAATAAATCCATTTTTGCTTTTTGACTCTTCCTATTTCAAGAAATGAAGCATGATGTGACATGACACACACTGGCTTTTATATAGGTTAGATAGATAATTAATTTTTGGATATTTGTATTTATCTGAAATATATGTATTTCAATTAAAGTTACCAGTGAAATGTTATCTTGGCCTTTCATTCCATATATATATATATATACCTAAAGAAAACTGCCAAACAGTGTTGTGTATTTATTTCCTGTCTTACTTTGATTAAAAAAAGTTTTTTAAGTCAAACTTTGTACTGGTAATTGATTTAGATTGAATAAACAAATTTTATAAAAAAAATACATATATTTATCCAGTGGAAAGTTCGACGAACACTGGCCTCCTCACTTCATGAATTAGCAGTTATTCTTGGGTCAGATCTTGCTTCAAGGGATCTTCTGCCTATCTTTGCAAGCTTTTTACAAGACTTAGATGAAGTTCGTGTAGGTGTATTGCAACATTTAGCACACTTTCTAAAGGTAAGATAAAAACCTCACATGAATGGACCAGGAATAACCACTTTTGGTGACATTATTTATTTATTGTATTGAGAGGTAATCAGGAAATCTTGCTTTATCTGAGCAATAAAACGTATCAGTATTTTGTTATAGGAAAAGCTTTAAGCAGTAAAAGTCTTTAATATTTTTTGAAACTTACAGTTGTAATGGTAGTGTTGCTTCTTGATTGTTTAACCACATAATGCACTTTGAATTTCATACTAAAAATGCACATCGAGTGCACAGAACCAATAGACAAAGCCTAATCTACAAGGATCCAAAATGGTGTATGTTGTTATTGAAAACATCGATAATATTTGCAGTTGAAAATTGTTTAATTTTTATGAGAAAACAGACCCATAATGGTATCCAATTGCTCCAGTGTGTTTTCATGCTTGAAGAGACATTTGAACTTGTGCAAGTTAACGATGCTTTTGGCTCTGAACCTGAATTATCTGATTCTGATTTTGAACATGATATGACTGACTGAAAAAAGTATGCATCTAAATGGTTAAGTGTGATTTCCTTTGATTGATGATTATAGCTTCAAAACCCTGGGTGAATCCTCATTTTGCATTCATAGGATTATCTTAAACTAGTCTGTGGTTGATGACAAAATGTGGGTGAATTTACTAGATTAAGATTTCCTAACTTGATCTCTTCTCTAGTCACCTGGTATGACTTCTATATATTTTTTTCTTAATATTTGAGAAGTTTTGTTCTTTCAATTTTCATAAACTATTAAATTTGTTAAATTGTTAGTATACTGAGCCTTTAAAAACAAATAACGATACTGATTTGTACATCAAGAGACTTGATATTATTAAAAGATTACCTTTATAGTAATTGATATCAATTAAATTTTTGTGGCAATGTTAATTAATCTTCAGTTGAAGAAACTTGACAACCCTTGATGTACCCCAAAATAATGCGATGTAGAAAGTATTTCATGTCTTTTAAAGAAAAGGGTTAAAAATTCATTAATAGATTGTATCCCAAAGTCTTATTAAATAGTGTTTAATCTGATTGTTAGTTTTAAACTAGTTTTCATCTTAAAAGCAGCCATAACCTTAATGATGTTTCATTGTGTATCTCTGAACTGTAATAAAAGGCATCTTGGATCTATTACCAGAAGGCTATAGAAAAGAATACACGAACATATTCATTTTATTAGTTTTAGCTCTAGTAGTATTTTCAGTTACTGTTTGGAGTGGTGTCTGGCTGTCCAACCATGAAACAGTTCATGATAATTTTGAAACCTAAAGATAAATGTTCTGTTATGTCTCTGGTCATTTGTTAATTTTCCGTAGAAATTCTTTCCGAGAAACTTCAGTGATACAAGTCCTTTCTTAAATAAAACTAGTTTATTCTTTCTCAACTCAACTTTGCAATACACTTAATTTCCACAGTCACTTTAACTTAAACACACGCTATAATTCACAATGATTCACGTACTTTACTTATGGTCACTACCGCGCTTGACTCAATTGTCCGTCTCTGTCTGTCTGCAATTCTATTCTCTGATTAATTAATTTCGCTTTATC